GTGAGGGGCAGACGGGGCCACCGTGAGCTTGTGAGGGGCAGACGGGGGCTCTGGAAAGGCCTCAGCGAGCAGGTTAGTGGGGGGGCGTGAGAAGGACAGGAAGGGGCCGGGTGAAGACGTTCAGACTTCATGCTGAGGGTCACCAGGAGCCCAGAAAGATTTTAGGCGGATCAGTGACTTCAATTTTAGAAGGCCAGCTTGGCGGCTAGCAGGTGGCAGCTAACAGGTGAGAAGTGACATAGTCACTGTGGCAGGTTCGGATAACGGGAAGGAAGAGATGGCTGTGAGAGAGGCCAAGGGGAGATAAGAGAGGCGGGATTTGGGACTGGTCATGGCAGGTGGTCCAGGCTGACACCCGAGCACTAATGATATTCACAGGCTGGTCACATGGGAGAAGAGATGCGCGCAGCCGGGTGGGGAGGAGCGGTCAGGGGGGCAGAGCATCCCAGTGGGGCCTCTAGGTGGGGATGGTCAACTACATGGTCTGCTCTTTAGAGGCGGGGACTGAGCAATGGAAACTGTCCTGGGGTCCCCGGAGGTACCCAACCCCCATGGAGAAGGAGGTGTGGGAGGGGGCTGTGAGAAGGGGTGGTGGGAGCTGTGGAGGACGCCAGGAGCGGCACAGTCACATCGAGGAAGCAGAGAGGGAAGGCATTTCAGGAGGAAGGGAGTGGCCCCTGAATGTCAAGTATGATAGAGGCAGGGCGTGCCCCATGGATTTGGCAATGTGGAGGCCACTGGCGCCCCTAAGTGGAACAGTTTTGTAGTTGGGGGAAGGGCAGAGGCCAGAGGGAATGGGAGGGAGGAAATACAGACAACCAGGGTCGATGACCCTCCCTGGGAGCCCCACTGGGACCATCAGGAGAGAAACCGGACAGTGGGCAGATGTTCAAGGATGACCTTCTATGTAGACGCTAAGGGGAAAGTGCAGTCGTGGAGGCTGGGTATTGCTGTCCCGGAAATGCCCCCGCGAGGACACGAACTGCAGAACTGAGGGGCCAAACACCACTATGCCTCTTGCCGGCCACGTTCTTATCTTCAGTCTCAAGTGATTCTTTTAACAAGCCCTGTGAGGTAGATGCTGCTGCGCCCACTTCACAGATGAGCACATGGAGTCCCAGAGCAGTAACATCAATTGTGCCTTGATCCCACCCTGGGGTTTGCCTGACCCCAAAATCTGAGCTCCTCCCACTACTGAGGGTGGAGGGGTGCATCGCGGGCCTGGCTGGGCCACAGTCACAGAACACTCGAGAGGGCACAGTTCTGCTATGCATCCAGGGTAGTCGGCACAGCATCGCTGTCTGGTTTTGACTACAGCGGAACTCTTCTGTATCTTTGTGAAGAACGGGGGCCTGGGGAGTGCCTGCAGGACAAAAGCAATGAAAACCACCAGGAAACTGCTGTGATTACAACAGAACTGGAGGCTTGTGGTCCAGAGTCAACAGGATGGTCACCCTGAGTGTCAGGGGGCTGCTAGGACGCAGGGTGCCCTGGGGCCCAGGCAGTGATGATGCTGGGGGAACCCGGAGGGCAGATCACAGGGGTGAGAGCTTACTCGTGCAGGCTCTGGGGAGCCCGGATGGCCCAGCAGGTTTCCTGTGCTCAGGGCAGGAGCCCGGAGGTAGGGGTCAGGAGGCACCCGGGGCAGATGTAATGGACAGGAGAGGGCTGAGAGGTGGAGCCAGTGACCTTGGACACAGGGAGCTGATAACCAAAACGACCTGTCCAGGCTGTGAATCCTCTGTCTTCCTGAACTTGATCTTCAGTTCCAGTTTTGAAGGGGGCCTGACGTCCCTGCCAGCAACATGAGGGCCGAGCCGCGTTCTGCAAGGATGCACCTGCTTATCTGGCATCCAACCTTTGCTTCCCCATCTGAGTGTCGGGAAGGGTGTATTTTACCTCCTTGTCTTGTCGTCTGGCTACCGCACTGGAATGTAAGCTCCACGGATCACGACTGTCATCTGCTCAGGGCTTGAGAGAGTGCCTGGTACACAGTAGGGGCTCCATAAAAGTTTATAGAATGAATGAAGAGTGCAGGAGTGAGTCCAATGGAACAAAGTTGAGAAATGCCACATGTCTTACTCAAGGTCTTACAGCCTGAAACATTGGAGTCAGGATTTGGGACCAGAAAAGGGGATTCTTGCCTTCCAGCAAAAGCTCCCCAGGGACAGATGCCCCCTTCCCATTACCAGTCCAACCCCCACCCCCACGCCCGGCCACTGCCAGGGACTCTGCTCGACCCCTGTCCTCAGCACCTGCCTCTGAGGATGGGGCAGCTGTGACATCCTGCTGGCCCAGCTCCCTGGGCCTGCAGCCCTGTTTGCCTTCCTAGCCCCTACTTACTTTTCAGGATTCAGCTCAAATGTCATGCCTCCAGAAGGCCTTCACTGGTTCTCCTACCTACACCAGGGTCCCCCAGTGACTACCTCTCATGGCACCTTGTTATTTTTTTCATTGGCCTTGTCATGGTTGTGATTCTATACGCCCTGCCTGTGTGCATGATTCTGGCGGTGTGCTCCAGCCATGAACTGGGGACTGTTGCTTTGCTCGGGGCTTTCCCCCCAGTGTCTAGCCCCAGGCATGGCACACAGCAGGCCCTCAGGAAATGTGGAGGGAATGAGCCAGGTAGACCTGGGTGCTCTGGGCCCCAGAGTGGCAGCCTTCCCAAGCTCCAGGCCAGCGCAGTTGATACCCAGCCCCTGAGCAGGCGTTGCCACCTACTCTACCCTCTCCAACACTGGAGCCATGCCCGCCTGGGTTCCTGCTTCCTTCAAGTCTCATCTGCTCCCCACTGGCAGTCCTGCCTCTTTGCCTTTGCTTATGCTGTTCCATACCATTCCTCCAAGTCCAGAGCCTGGCTGGAGTCCAGTGGTCCAATGGCATGCTCAGGGTGAGAAGACCTTACCCTGAATGACCTGAATGACCTTGACCAGCCACTTCACCTTCTGGGCTTCCTCAATGGAGGGGCTCTAAAAGGGGCAGAAGTGGAACCAGATTTGCATTTCAGAAAGCTCACAGGCTTCCGGGCAGCCCAGGCCATGACCTGAATGCCTGAGCTGGGATGGGGCAGTGGGGCTCCCCCGAGGCAGGGGCAGTGGAGGTAGGAGTGACTCAAGAGGCAGGCTCAGCATGGCTCAGAGATTCCGGGTGGCTGGAACCCACCGGAGGGAGGAGGCACAAGGGAAGCGAAGGGTTACTCACCCCTCCTCCCTAACGTGAACGGTCTACATTCTGAATTAGCACACGTGCTAATTAAAACCATCTTTCCAAAGAATTTATTATAGGATATTCCAAGCTAATTATAAATTCTCTGTAGCTGATCCTGAGCAGTTTGCTAATGCGGTGTTGAAATCTCTTTGGCCACCCTCGTTTAAATTATTCATCAGGCCCTGCAACAGTTGTGAACTGTAATTTAAACAGTCAGCTCATGAATATTCAATCAACACAACAAACATTGGCGTGTTTTACTGCCTTGCTGCTCAATATTTTGTATCCTCATCCGTGTTTACATGTTTTTATGAACTCTCGAGAAAAGCGTTGCCTGTTGAAGTCCCTGGTTAAGCCAAGAATGAAATGCCTGGGAGGGGCTGGAGGCGGCAGGCCAAGCCTCTGACACTCTTTCTCAGAAGAGCGGCAGGTCAGGCTGGAAGGGTCCAGGGAGAGGAGGCCCAGAGAGGGCAAGGACTGGTCCTCAGGTAACACAGCACATCCAAGGCACAGAAAGGACTCAGAGCTCTGGGGCAGTTCCCACTGCCTAAACTGCCATAAAGTAATCGGCAAAGGGGGAGCCAGGGACACATCTGGCTCCAAGACGATGTTAGGAGCGCAGAGGAAGCCAGGCATTGCCTGCTATCCAGCCTCTTAAAGGCAATGGCCAAGTGTTGCCAAAGTGGCTCAGGACCACAGGCTGTTTTGCAATCTGGGCTGGCTCCACCCTTAAAAATCAGAGTTCCCGCCCCTCCATGGCCAGGTCAGAGGACTCTGTGTCCCCCTCTCCCTGCAGTGATTTTTAGGGCCCCTACAACCTGCAAATAGTTTTGAAGCCTCCACAAATGGCCCCTCACTTATTCTCATCTCCCTCCTATGAGGTGGGCACCTTAATGACTCCCAGGTTTGCAGGTCAGACGGAGGAGGCTTGGAGGACGAAGAAGCTTGCCTGGGGAAGAGCTCTCTTTTCCTCCCTCTCTGAGAGCACACCCTCCAAAAATCGTTTCCCCAATGCTGAAGGAACCCATCTCAAGAGAGTTTTGTACTTGAGGAAAGTCAGAAACAGCCTCGATGCCAACAGAACACTGTTTATGTTCACAGTGAACCAGCCACACAACGGAACGTTACGCAGCCGCTGACATAAGGGTGCGGCCTGTAACTACGGACGTGGAAATACGTCCCTTGGCTACTGCTGCAGGGAATTGTCAGGCCACACAGAGCAGCTCCAACAGAACAGACTACAAAGTCCAGGAAAAGGCCCCATATTATGTCTTATTTGTGTAAACTGTATGTGTATGATGTGAAAAGATACCTAACCAGCAAATGGTTAATCATAGTTATGTGTGGATGGTGCAGTTTAATGATCTTTTCTTTCTTCTTCGTATTGGCGTGTAATTTTTTTTTTTTTACAACAAACCATGTACCATTTTTATAAAAATCAATAAAGCTACGTTTTTGGAAGAGGTAGAAGACGTAAGAATACCTCATTTCAAAATGTAGAACAGGATATGGCCAAAGCCATACTCAGAAAAAATGTATAGCCATCACCTTTTCAATCATTCAACAATAATCAAGAAAAGTAAATGAACTAAAGAATCTAAAGTGAAACATCTACAGAAAGAAAGGAAGGAATTAATAGATGTAAAAGAAGAAATGAATACATTAAGAAAAAAGAAAAGTAATAGAATTAATACACAGCTCTGATGGTTCTCTGAATAAAACCAATGAAACAAAGTGGAGAGACCAATAACATGAATGAGCCCCCCCATAAAGATGAGCATAAAAAAAAGAGAAAAACTACAATATACAACTTTAGGGATAGGAATGGGATGTAATTACAGGTACAAAGGCTTTAAAAATTATAAGATAATACTACATGTCATTCAGTGGTAATAGCCGTATAGATCTCCGTGTAATGAACTACTCATTGTATGAAGATGGTATAACCTCTATGACGGTTATATAGATTATAGTATAATCTGTATTTCACTTCAGAAATATGAGAAAGTTATTTACTGATCCAGTCACTATAAAAAATGTAAAAGATGGGGCGCCTGGGTGGCTCAGTCAGTTAAGTGTCTGCCTCTTGATCTCGGCTCAGGTCTTGATCTCACAGTTGTGAGTTTGAGCCTTGCATTGGGATCCATGCTGGGCGTGGAGCCTACTTAAAAAAAATGTAAAAGAAAAACCTTAAGTAAAATAATAGTGCCTTAGATCCAGCCTCACATTAAAAAAACTACATGTACGTACGTACGTTTAAATATGTATGTATATATGCATATCATAACCATGCATATGTATACACGCATATCATAACCAAGTAGAATATGTTAATACTGAGCAATCTATTAATAAAATTCATCACCCCCACATACTAAGGAAGAAAAACTATGTGATCATCTCAATACATACTTAGTAGACATTTGATAAACGGAAGAGGTCTTGAACAACCCGCCGAAACAAGAAGGAAAGGCCCAACTACAGTTTACAGATGGGTCAGTTCCCCATGTGGGTACGAGCCAAAAAGTGGGTGGTGACTCCATTGCAGTGACATGCATGGGGGTGGGGGGCCTTGAAAGAGAACAGAGCAGGGGCGCCTGAGTGGCTCCGTAGGTTAAGCGTCTGACTCTTGATTTTGGCTCAGGTAATGATCTCAGAGTTGTGAGATCAAGACCGGCATCAGGCTCCGTGCTGGGCGCTGGGCATAGAACCTGCTTGGGATTCTCTCTCCCTCTCCCTTTGCCCCTCCCCATACTGCATGGGCATGCACTCTCTCTCTCTCTAAAAAAAAAAAAAAAAAGGATAAAAGGGAACAGATCAGAATGATGTTCCCAGTGGGTGGGGCTGTGGGCCCTGCATCTGATCACTCACTTTGTGTGGAAGGAGGAGCAGCTGAGACTAGATTCAATTCTCATCCTTCACGGTAGTTGGGTGTGTGTGTGTTAAGATTTTATTTGACACAGAGAGAGATGGCGAGAGAGGGAACACAAGCAGGGGGAGCGGGAGAGGGAGAAGCAGGCTCCCTATGGAGCAGGGAGCCCGACGCGGGGCTCGATCCCAGGACCCTGGGATTATGACCTGAGTCGAAGGCAGGTGCTTAACGACTGAGCCACCCAGGCGCCCCGGTATTTGGGTTCTGATTAGCGAATGTTGAACCACTGCTCCTAGAGGAAATACAGGGTTAGGTTCCCGGGAGCCTCTGGTCACAACATTTTCATCTGCCAATCAACACATGACCTTGCTTTATGTGTGTTTCTGTTTAAAAAAGCCTTATTTGATATATAGTTGACTCATTAACATTGAATTCAAGGCACCGTAACTCATGCCTGAACACACCTATTTTCTCTGTGAGACATTTCTTGAGTTTAGAAGCACCAGGCGGCATGTCTGCACTATGCTTGGGGACCACTTTAAACAGTGAAATAAGCCACAAAACGCAAAAAAAAAAAAAAAGTGGCACTACACAAACTGCAAAACAGATCCTTGTTGACGGAAGGAAAACGGAAGTGAGAAGACACAGCACTGCCTTGTTTGACCCCAGCTGGGAACACGCACGTGGAGTGATGTGAATTTTCTGCCATTTTTGCGTGTCCACAGATGACCGTGAACACACCGTGAGTATTGATTTCGGGGTTAAAAATAAATTTTAGCTAGTAGATGAAGTGGCGAATAGAGAAATCCGCCAATAATGAGGATGGATTATATACAGATTCACAGCAGCGGCCAAGGGCCTGGCTGTCGGTCAGGGGCCTAGAAGGAAGAGAAATGTGAGCTTGGAGGCAAGCCAGGTCTGGGGGAGAGGTGTATGGATGGAGATACAAGAGTGAGCATAAAGTGTGATTTTTGAATCGTGTTTTGCCAACCAGAAGGCATTCGTCATAGAAGAGGCGCTGAACGATCAAGTGGACAAAAGGGCTTGGCCCATTGCCATTAGCCAGCCATTACCATCAACCACCCCCCAAATGGCACTGAGCGCCTGGATGTAGTGGCCAAGGCAGCAAAGACGGAGGCTATTTATGGACCCAGTGACAGGAACTCCCCCTTGTCAAGGCCAATTTAGCTGCTGCCACCTCTGAACGTCCACCCTGTCAACAACAGAGACCAACGCTGAGCCCCACGCATGGCATTACCCCTGGATGGTACGTCTACTACGCCTGGCCCCTTCCATTACGGACGAGCCAGCAGTGCGTCCTCTCAACAATAGATACTCTGGGCGTGGTTTGCCTCTCTATCTGCAGGACTTGAGCCAGCACTGCTCTCTGGGGGCCGACCGAAAGCACGGGCCACAGGCATGGAATCCCACACGACACGGTACGCAACCAGGGGGCCCATTCACAGAGACAGGTGTGGGAACAGACCCTCGTCAGGGGGGTCTCCTGGCCATAGCACGTGTCTCGCCGGCCAGAGGCCAGCATCCTCACAGAATGCTGGGAGAGCCTTCTACAGGGGCAAAGCCCTAGCAAGGAAACACTGAAAGGACAGGGTACGGTCGTCCATGGCGTGGTATGGGCGTCACAGTGGAGACCTCCGTGTGGTTCTGTGAAGAGTACACGGGTCCAGGAGTCAAGGGGTGGAAGCAGAGACAGCAACAGCCCTACACGTTATCCCTCCCGGAGACCCACCGGGGGATCTCGTGCTTCCTGGCTCTGCAATTCTGGGCTCGGCTGGGTTGGAGCACCTGGCCCCCCAAAGGGGCATGTTCTTGCCAAAGGACACAACAGGTGTGGCTGCTGCCAGGGGCCTTGGGGCTTATGTCTAGGGAGCAGCAGGTGAGAAGAAGACTCCCCGTCACAGCAGGGGAATCCATCCTGACCGGCAGGAGGAGGGAGGGCGGCTGTGACTCCCTGGGGGCAGAGAGTGTAATACACACGTGACCCAGGTGACCCACCTGGGCGCTTCCTGCGACTCCCTTCCCCATCGCAACTGTGAATGCACGGGTGCAGCAACCTTGAACAAGCGCCAAGGACTCAGACCTTTCCAGAGCAGGTAAGACACAGAAGCCCCCAGATCCATCCAGGGGATAGCCGAGGGAGAGGGGAACTGTCATTTGCTCCACTAAGTTTCCCTCAGGAACAGGGGCCCAGGGAACCAAGGAGAATCAGACCTGTGTGGCACAGGGGGCCATGGTCAAATGCACGGGTCAGCCCTCCTGCTGTGGGAACCCCACTGCTGCCTGGCTCCATGAACATGCTCTAGCTGAGGCAACCCCTAGCCAGCAGCTGAGCACACGGGGGATACTGAGGCAGCACCATCTGGTGAGACAAGCAGCTCCTCCCGTGGGTGACTTTGGTCTGAGGACTCCCCACTGGCCTGGGCAAACCTTTCTGGGAATCGTGCCCTAAGACTCTTCATACCCAGCCCCCCTCCTACTGCCCCCTTCCACAGGCATCAGCCCTGTGTCCCCCACCTCCCACCTCATCTTTCTCCCTCTCAACAAATCTCTTACCTGCCTGATCCTGTCTAGCGCTGCTTCTTGGGGGATTCAAACTAATGCAACCAGAATCCCTCTGTGGGAGAAGACTATACTTCACTTGTGTTGAGAGATGCACTATGCCCTGCTCTGGGTGGAGGGTGACCCCCAAGGATGCGCAATTCAAACCAAAGAGGCCCTAACCTAACCTCTAAGGAAGTCAGGTGCTGGGAATGGAGGAGCCTTCGTTGGGCTGACTTCAGCGGGGCATCTGGATCTGTAGGCCTGTGGGGGTAGATGCACAGGCTGAGGGGAACCCAGCGGCAGACAGAATGGAGGGTAGCCCAACACTGAACTTGCCATGCGGGCAGGGATAGGAGAGAGAGGTCATCAGAGCATCTGTGGGACCAAACAGGGACTCGGCAGCACAGATGTGTGCTGCTGTCTGTGGTGGGCATCCCCGTAAGACCTCCAGGGAGCCAACTTTGTCCACCAATACTTGGGCAGGTGGATTTCTTGGGAGATCTAGAAAGGATACAGAGTCCTCTGTGTGGGTGGGCAGAGAAGAAAAGGAGGCAGCTTGTACGCAAAGCGCTTAGAGACTAATAGCATTATTATGGTTATCATGCTGAGCATTTTATAAACATTATAGCATTTAATTACCAAAATAGCTCCATACGGTAAGAATTATTAACATATCCATTTTACACACATAAGAAAACTAAAGTTCAGAGGGGGTGGGGAGCTTGCTCAACATGGCAAGCAGCTGGAGGAACTCAGATTTAAATCCATGTCTCGCGAGGTCCAAGGCCAGTGATGTTATTTCTGGCAAAGTGCTGACCCCCTTTCAGCACAGCAGGGAGCAGTGGGTACAGAGACATGGTGTGAGTGTCTAGGCTAAGGGGCCACAGCAGAGGCTAAGCCCCTATTCCCAGAAGACAGTTTTGTCTCCAGTGTCATTGGCCAGCCGCTGGTCACTTGCACTTATGGATGCCTTCTTGGGTGGCAGGCTTCCGCCACGTGCTGGGGCAGAGCGAGCCTATTCCCTACGAGATGTAGGGCTATGGGAAGACACAGTTCCAGTTCAGTCTGACCAAAGTCACAATGGTGAAGATATGCCGAGGAGGGTGCTGCCAATTCGGTGGCTAGAATCCTGCTTCTCCTCAGCAGGGACACAGCGAGTAAGAATATGTCAAGTTCCCAAGGCAGGTGAAAGGGAGCGGGGAGGAGGGGTCTTCCGTGCAAAGGCATAGGGGCCCAAGGTCTGGGGTTCCCAAGGGAGAGGAGGAGTCCTCTGGGATGGGGAGTGGCCATCTTAGGCTGAGCCTTTGGGCCCTGGATCGCGGGTGGGGGTAGGGAGGCCCATGCTTTGCTGTTCCCTTTGACCCAGGCCCCATTCTTCTTGTCCAGCTGTTGCTAGTGCTGGCGGTGTCTAGCTTGAGTCTGCTTGTTAGACTGCTCACACTCCATCCCCTCATGGTCCCTGAGAACAGGCTTCACTGATTGCCCCGTACCCAGCACACAGGCACCGTCCCCATAAGCAGCTGGAAGAACCCAACCTCCCGGTCGCACGGAGGTCCTGGTGATCTCCCTGCCCGAAGTTCCCCTTCTTTTCCCCTACTGCACTTTGTTTCTACTTCAGCGTGGGCCCCCGGTGCACAGTTACCCACGAACCTCACAAGGATGAGGCATTCTACAGTCTAAGGAGATCTGGCCTGGAGTCCTTCAGATCTCAGGCTGGGCACGGTCCTCATGCCAAAGGGTCTGCTTCAAGGCCTGAGCCAATGGGAGGTGCAAGGGGCTGAGAAGAGTCTGGAACCACCCACAGAGGTGTGGATTCTCTGCTTTCTCTGGGGGAAAGGGTTTGCAACTGTCACAAGTGTGATGCAATCCTCAGGGCAAACTGACACATAAGCGACAGTTCTGTGTACACTAAAAACAACGGAGAACTTGGGCCCCCACCGAGGATGATGCAGACCAGTGGTACCAGCAGGATCAGAAGCTGGTTAATCACAGGCTGAGGGGCTAGGGAACCTAACAAGTTCCCAGGTGATGTTGATCCCACTGGGAACTCATTTTAGACACCGAGGCTGCCCGAGCCCCAGGTAGATGGACTCCTGGGTGTACTGGCTGCCAAAGGTCTGCACGCAGCCGCCCCCTTCTCTAGGCTATGCATGAGTCCCACCCCTGTGACCAGTGCCTGACTCACACCTCACCCAGGGGCACCAAAGCTGGCAACTCTGGTCTGATTCACACTTGGGAGCCCCCTGTGGGACCACGCGGACCTCCCTCTAGTGCAGATCTGGACACCATCTACCATTCACTCCTCACGACAGCCCCATCAGGAAACCGTGGCACAGAGAAGTTAAGTGGCCGGGCTAAGGTCACACAGCTGGTTACACATGCAGCTGCCTGAGCCCTAGGCTCCCTGACCTGTGGCTCTGACCCGCAGCCCCAGTGACAACAACCCTGGCAGGGCCCATTCACAGGATGCTTCAGAGATGCTCCCTCCCTACATCCTCTCCTCGACTCCCTCTGTGATCTGAGGTTTGTCCACTCAGCACATGAAGAACGTGAGGCCGGGAGGAAAGTGGCTGGCCTTACATAATCCACCAGTGGCAGAGGTAGGAAAGGGAGCCTGGACTCCGGGTCTCTCATTCAGTTTCTGGGGTGACAGGAAACACCACCCTGGCTTATTCGGAAGAGACACCTCTAGGCTCCAGCATCGCAGGCCCCCGGCTCCATGCGACAGACCCAGCCCAACAACAGGTTGGAACTACTCACCCCGGAGTTCCTTTCCTTTGGCCTTGCTACCAAGAGTTTGGAGAAATCGCTGCTGGGGCCATTTTTGCCCCTCCCATGACTCTGCCTTAAGTGAGAGGTCTGACAGTCCCTCAACGGCGGGGACGCACAGGGGCGAGAACCGCCCCCCTCCCCCGCCGCTGTCCAGAGGCCCAGGGCTGGGGGTGCTTCTGAACAACACTGACGGCACAAAATACTTGGGGTCAAGGGAAAGAGGTTCTCGTCCTGCCTCTGCCACTTCCTGGCTGTGTGTCTTCAGTCAGGCCACTTGCCCTCAGAGTCTCAGGGACACATCTGTAAAATGAGGATAATTCCATCCCCCTCCAAGGTCGACGGGAGGGTTAGATGAGATGAGGTGGATTAGACCATAAGACGGAATAAGCTACTGGGGCCCCACCCGGGCTTACTCGCCAACAACAGAGACAGCGCTCTACAGTTTGGGAAGTGTTGACACAGGCAACATTTGCATAGTCAGTCAGTCTGCCAGTCACTCGACAAACCCTTCTCAGACGCGGCTCCATCCCACATGTAAAGCTAAGCACCAGGAGTATTTTCTAAGCACATTTGACTCCAAAAACCACCCTGTGGGGTAAAAAGCATCAGCTTCCAACTACTTGAGGCTCAGAGAGGGCGAGTAATTCCCTCAGACCACCCAGCAGGGCAGAGCAGAGACGCCGGGACTGCAGGCTCCCCTTTAAGTGCTACTGCTTGGACACCAGGAGGCCCCATCCCAGCCGCAGCTGCAGCCCAACCCCACTGGGGTGCTGAAATCTCCCGCGGACTCTTCCCAATGCTCTTGGCTCCGCGTCTCTCCTCTGGAGCCTTAATATTTAGAGGAGTTTTGTCTTGCTGCCTTTTCTAAAGACGCCCGAGTTCTAAATGGACAAAGCCACAAGATGAGAGAAAGAGCGCAGGAGACTGACTTTTTATGATCCAGCCAGAGCAGGGGGAAAATGACTCCAATAGATCTCAAGTTTTATGTGCTCCAGACATTCCGCAGAGCCAGAGATGGTTTCTCAGCAATGCCGATGGTACATTAAAAGCTCATTTTCCCAAACATGGTACTGAATATGCACTCGGAGGAAAGGGCCATCATGTTGGGTAATGTTGAAGCTGCAGCTGACGGATGCTGCTGTGATTTTCCCTGAATTCTCCCTCATGATTCAGGAGCAGGTCTCAGAGGGAGAGGTAGTCTGCCAAGCTTGGCATCTCGCCCAGAATGGAAGTTAAATGCCTGGCCCCTGCAACCGTTCACGGCCAGAGGGTCACGGCTCGGATTAGGAGCCCGGCGGGGGGTGGTGAGGATGGCCACCAGAGGGCACCTAAGTGGTCATAAAACATCACAAACTGTTTTGCAAATCCCAACAGAAGGGGTGTTGACTGGATGTGAACAAGGAAGTCTGGACAGGTGTGAAGTTTCCTCTTTTCGGGCTTCTGCTGCTGTTCTCTGGCCCCTAAGGCCCAATCCCAAGGCTACCTCCTCCAGGAAGCCCTCCCCGCTCCCACTCTCCTCTGAACTCCTCAGTATTCATCTGTTCCTTATTCCAAGCTGACACTTCATACTTCATGCTATGCTTCCTTATGAACATGAATGGCTTGACTCGGAGTCAAATAGATAACGTGGGTCTCAATCCTGGCTGGCCCGCTCCCTTATTCATTCCCTCACTCGTTTGAAGGCTGTCAGGGTGGATACTGGGACACCAGGGAGTCAGCCTGCCAGGCTCAGATCTCGGCGCCACCACTGACAGGTGGGTAGCCAAGTGATTCGCCTCTCTGTGCCTCTGTTTCTTCATCTGTAAAGTGGCAACAATAAGAGTACCTCCTTCTCGGGCTGAAGGATGAAATGAGATAACAAATAGGGCTTAAGGGGGTGCCAAGCACAGCATAAGTGCTAAATAAATGTTAGCAGACTACAGTCAGAGATAATTCAGCCACTATGTAGGAGAAAAGTTTGCCAAGAGGAGCTGGGGTCAAACCAGATGTGGTCTTTGCCCTCCAAAGGCCAAGATAAGGCATCTCTGCCCACAGCGAGCACGCAGAGCGTGCCCAGGGGCTGGCCATCGTGGTTCCGCTCTTGGCGATGCTCTCCTGCCTGCCAACGGGGCGGTGAGGCTGAAATGAGAGCCACAGGGAGAGCCAAGTGGACAGCACGGTAAGATCATGGCTGCTGTGGCCCGGCCCCTCCCCCAGGTTGTGAGCACTCCGGGGGCATCTTCAAATCCTCTGTGGCTTAGGTTTCACTCCTCAGGCAACCTCCGTTCACCTGTGCACAGCCTGAAGGGTGCAGAGAGCACGGAGCTCAGAGTCAGAGGCTCACCTTCAAGTTTCAGCCCCACCCTTCTCACTCTGTGACCTTGGACACGCAATCTCTCTTCTCCCGTTCATTCCGTCAATGAACAGACATTGAGGGTGATCCGCTAAGGCAGGCCCTTTGCCAGATGCTGGTGCCGGAGAAAGGCCTACGCACTGACCCAGCCTTCAGGCTGTCCCAGGCTGGTAGCACAGACGGACATTCGCATGGACAGCCACCTGTCTCCGTGAACGCAGACTGATCCCACCTTTATTTGTACTTTTCATATACTGTTCATCACAGAGTGTTTTTTTTGTGTGTGTGTGGTAATTTTGATTTTAAAAACTATCACAGTAAGATACTGTTTCTCTTGATTACTGAGATTTTTGGAGCTCCCTTAAATGTTTAGATTGAGGCAAGCGCCTCACTTGGTCTCACCCACTCCCAGCCCAGAGCATCCCGGCAGCCTCAGAGAGAAGATGACTTCTGAGCTGGATCCGAATGCAGGAAAAGGGGTTCAGCGGTTGACAAGGGGGTGGATCCTCCTAAATCAAAGAAACAGCCAGCAGGGGTCCTCAACCAGGGCTGATTTTGTTCCCCGGGGGACATTTGGCACTGACTGGAGACATTTTTGACTGTGATTTTGACTGAGGGCGGGCTACCAGAGGCCAGGGGTAGCAGGTAGAGGCCGGGGACCCTGCCAGACATCCTACAATGCCCAGGGCAGCCCCCCACCACAGAGAACCTTCCCATCCCAGATGGTGGTAGTGCTGGGTTGAGAAACCCTCCGCTAGAGCACAGAGGGGTGAGACATCGTGGCAACACTGCTTGGCCATTGCTTGGCCTCTAGTCTCAGTTTCTGCATCTGAACAATGGGGATACTAACAGATTGCTGGGAGGAGGCAAGGGGACCAAGTCTGGACACAGCAGGTACTCAATAAATGCCTACGAGCCCTCTTTTCCCCCTTTGAACACGCCTCAAGCTTTAGAGCAAACAGTTCTCAGGAGAGACAGCGTCCCTGGGTTCCAAAGAAAACTGGGACACGGAAAAGAACACATTCTGTTCTTTTCCGACCTTTCTCTCGGTGAAAACCACGAGTCTTATCTCTCAACAAACGGGAGCCTGCTCGCAGAGAACTAGCCTGTGTATTGGCTTATCAGGGGCCTGAGTTTTAACAGGGAGTGAATTTTTATGACCGAGTTATAAACCTCTGCAAAAACCTTTTTAAACTAAAAAATGCTGACAGGTTCTTAACTACTATAGCTGCTAAATTAAGCATGAGGGATGGGGTGGGGGGGCAGGAGAGGGTGGAGGAAAACAGAAGTGCCCTAAAAGAGTTAGTGGAGGTAAAATAATGTTCATTAAAGATAGAAAAACAAACACACAAAAATCTTTTGTGTTCAACTTCACACTCGTACATCATAATGTTCCAGTAAAAGGCCATTTCCCCCTGAGATAATAAAAGAATTGAATTTTTCCTTATCGGTCATCTATTTTTCTAGCTGAAGCTATTACTCCCGCTCTGGGGTTGCTAGGCAACAAGAAATATTAATAGCGGCTTTTATTAGCTTAGCTTTTGCAGCCGAGTACCAGAATGAGAAAATGGGAAACATAAATGTGTTACATAAATCTTTCAACCTTTCAGAGCTGGTGTTAGTCTCTGTTTTCATAATGATTTATTGAAGTGATGGTTCATTTATGAGAAAGCAGAGTGCAGGATAAGAAAACGGAGCAGTCCCCTGCAGGGGTGTTTGAAAATAAATAATTATAGCAGGAGAGCAAAAGCTGTTTAAAGCCATTTTTCTGAGTTTTATAAAATGTAAAAAGACATATTTCTTTCGCTTACTGCCTCTGAAAAAACAGGGGGCGGGAGTTGCATCCGGACTTGGCTAAATATAAAGAAACCCGTGGGCCTCTGGTTACCCCCACTTAAGGATCCTCAGGGGCCTGTGGTGAGATCTGCACCCCCATGCCCACCCCCATGCCCACCCCCAGAGAGGAATTAGATAAAAACACGGCCCCCAGGAAAAGCCCAAGCTGGAGGATCCCCATGAACCCCTTGTTCTTACTGAGATGGATCGTGCCACTGGTCAAGCAGCCCAGAGAAGCTGGGTTTGGGGCCCTTGCCTTCTTGGCACGCAGTGGGACTGTCACTTCTCAGTTGCTTTCGAGCTCTGGGCCCCAGCTGTGGTCTTGGCGGAGGTGATACGCTTTCCTCCAGCCCACTCTCCAGCTGGGGCCCTCTCCCTACCCCCTGTACCTCAGCCTCTGACCTGCCTTTCCCGGCACCCACCTCTGGGCCCGGGCCCTGGCAGGTGAGCCAGCCTGACTACTTCCTGCCCCAACAAAGCCGACTCCCAGCAGTTCTGGCTGGACAAACGTAGATACAAGGCTGAAGCCACCCAAACCCCATGAGCAAAATGAATAATTAATAGAGTAGTTCACATTTATTATAAGTGCTTACTGTGTGCCAGGCACCGGGGCTGAGCACTTTTCCTGCATCCAATCGTTCAATCTTCACACATTCCTATGAGGCAAGTAACATTACCTCCGTTTCAGGTAGAAACTGAAGAAACTGAGGCTCACGGAGGATTAACCCCTTGGTCTGAGTCACAGTGTGGAAAGAAACAAATGGTGGAGCTGGGTTTTGAACTTGGGTTAGCTTAACTCCAGAACCCATGCTCCTAACTCACAGGTGATACCAAACGTCAAGAAAACAAAAGCCCATAAGCAAAACAAAATGATACCACAATAGATCATGAAAATGGCCACGAATTCCTGCCCTCCCTGCGTCCACACCCTTCTGCAACATGACGCTGACATTTCTCCCTTCAAGAAGTGGGGCCTATTTCTTCACTCCTTGAACCTAGGCATGGCCATGTGCCTGGCTTTGGCCAAGAGGACATCAGCAAATGTGATGTGAGTCGAGGCTTGAAAAGTGGTTGCACCCTGCGATCTGTCCTTCCTTTATGCTGTTGGGAACCCTGTGGCCACTGCCACGTGAACAGAGCCAGGCCACCGCGGGATGAGAGACCACTGGTTCCAGCCGACGTCGGGTCAACTGCCAAGATGTGAACAAGATCGTCCTCAACCGGGCGGTCCCAGCCAAGCCTGCAAGCTGACCTCAGGAATCAGCCAGGCCAGTCCAGATCAGAAGACCTACTCACCCATAGAATCACAAGAATTAGTAAGAGTTCATTGTTTGCTTTAAGCCTCTAAGTGTTGAGGTGGCTTGTTAACACAGCAAAAACTAACTGATAACAATCATAAACCAAACCAAACCAAACCAAAACAAAACAAAAAACAAATTAAATGCATTAAGGATAATAAAACAAATAGGTTGGGTTGGGAGGGTCTCCATTGCCCCCTGTAGCTCAGTCACCCAGACAAGGTTGAGGGGGGTGTCTTAGGTCCCTTTTCCTTGGACTCAGGAGGGGAATCCCCTACATCTCAGCTTGTGAGATTCACACAGAGGTAGACCAAATCTCCTCGGGGGAGGAGGGGTAAGGCAGGGAAGGGAGGAGGAGAGAGAGAGGAGACTGGAGGGGAAGAACAGAGAACAGGAAGATGGGGGGTGGGTGTTAGGAGTATATCAAGGACTGCCCGGAGTCAGTACACAGGCCCTGCTCCTAAGCTCTGAGCCCTGCCCCACCCTCCAGGCCCAACTCAGCACTGCAGGCTCTCTCGTGGGAACCACCTCTAAAGCAGGGGGCTGAAGTGGCAACCAAGGACTGCCCAGCCCCCTCCCTGAAAGCCTGCCCCAGGACACTAGCCTGGAAAGACCTTTCCCTTGGCATGGGGTCCCTGCGCCATGGCTCCTAGCCCACTCCTAGCAAGATGCTTTGGGACTGGGACCCAGAACACAAAAGATCTAAAACTACCAGTCTAGCACTCAGGATTTTGATCCAGGTTGGTAAGACTTGAGCCCCCCGGGCGAGTGGCATGGGTGGTGGTGCTGGCGGAGGCTCTATCCAACCTCAAAGCCATATACTTGTCCAGGGTGTCATAGCTGACAGAGCCACTATTCCGCTTTTCCCATTTGTGAGTTCGCCACAGTTGGCACCCCAATCCCCATTTCATAGATGGGCAAACTGAGGCTGGGAGAGAAGAGACTTGTCCGAGGCCCCAGAGAAAGCAAACAAGAGTCAACTCTGGGAGAGAACACTTGAATGCCAGCTGCATGCCAAGCCCGTGCTAACCGAGGCCCGAAACTGCACCACCCAGCTCCAGCCACCCACCGGGCTCGGCTTGGGGAAACGCCCCGACTTCCCAAATGGCCAGCACCGATGGCTGGAGTGGGGACAGCTCTGCCAGGGCTCCTCTCCCGTTGGGCCCGCCTCCACCCACTCGAGGCTCTCCCTGGGCTCTCTCTGATCTCGCAGGAGGTATAGGTTCCCCGGGACTGGTCTGGCAACACCCAGCATTGTCCCTTCCCAGGATGATGCCTCTCCTGGGTATGCCGGGACCATAAGCTCGAACATTTCCCAAGGACGACTCCAAAATAAATTATTTCAGACTTAACAGAGGCTGCTTAATAAATTCCACTCTTCTAGTTTCTTTGGGTATTTTAGAAACTGATTTATACATACAATATCTCTCTCAAAATGAGACAATCAACACAGGATAAAATTATTGAGTTATGAAAATAGGGGTCAGATGGAGGTGCAGTGCTTTAAATTAAACCGGCAAAATGTATCTTTCATACTAAATTGACTCTTTTTGTCTTGGAAATGAATGTTTAATCAGTTAAGACTCTGAAGTCGAGGGAGAAGCTTTAAGCATATTTAATTTTGTAAGAGGGGCCCAATTCCAATATTGCACAGGATTCCTGCCAGCAGCCATACCTTAAAAGCAGAAAAGCTGACTGCCATGCATGTCAGGAGGCCGCCAGGCCGGGACAGGGGACCAGAGGAATCGGTGGCCTCTGGGACCAGAGCCAGAAGGGCTTGGCACACATGAGATGCTCGTCAAGACGCCCTGGCCTCACCCACCTCTCCAGGGACGACATCCCTGACGCATCTCAGTCTGTGCAAACAGCATCTGTGACCTCCTGGCCACCAGGGCACCTTCTGGGCCACCTGCGGCCCTGCTCCATCTCTCGGGCACCTGGTAAAACTGAGAGGCGCACGGTAGCGGATAGAGCTGGGCTCGAGTTCTGCTTTGGTTTCTTAATGACTGTGTGACATTCTTTCACTCATTTACTCGTAACGTGTTTACGTCTAGAACCTGCTATGTGTCAGGTCATCACTTCCTAGGGGTGCCTCTTCTGGGCACACACAACAGCATGCACCGATTCTTTCAGAGCATTTACTACATTTCCAGAAGTGGAGACTTCACCTGTCTCTCCACCTGCACCAGGTGTTCCTCAAGGGCATCTTGTAGAGCCAGGGCTCAGAACACTGCCTGGGACTTAGGAGGCTCGTAATAAAGACTGTTGCACAGGTGATCACCACAGTAGGTTGAAAACAGCCCCCCAACTATGTCAGGTCCTAATCCCTGGAACCTGTACTGGGGAAAAGAGTCTTTGCAGGTGTGATTAAGTGAAGGTTCTTGAGATGGCCGGATTATCCTGGATTATCCCTAAATACTATCACACGTGTCCTTATGAGAAAGGCAGAGGAGACTGCACGGACAGAGAGAGGGGGCCACGTGAGGTCCGAGCGATGTGGCCACGAGCTAGGATAGCCAGCCACCCCTAGAAGCTAGAAGCAGCAAAGGAGGGATTCTCCCCAGAGCTTCCAGAGGAAACTCCCCCCTCCTGACACCTTCTAGCCTCCAGAGCTCTGAGAGAACCAATTTCTGGTTGCTTTAAACTACCACGTTTGGGACAATTTGTTTGAGCAGGTATTGCCTGCCTTTTCCGAGCCTCCTTTTCCCAGTGGAATGATCCCTGCCTCCCTCCGTTCTTGGGAGCAGCGTGTAAACAGTTTGTAAAGCCTTCTGCACTGTGCTTGACACCTAGCAGGTGGCGACACAAATTCTAGCACCACCTTCAGGATGCACGTCCACACACGCACAGACACACGCCTGCCTCCTACTGCTCGGACAAACTTGGAAAACTTATCTCTAAGGCTGCCTTGTGTCTCTTCACCGGAGAGTCCCAACAGATGGACATGATGGACATGTGTTTATTGAGTTTCCCATTTGGTCCAGTAGCCCTCCCCTGGACAAAACAGCTTGGCTTCTCTTTCATTATAGAACGAGGGAATATAAAACTCAGTGAGCCCTTGACAACTGATTAATGGAAGAATTTGTGAAGCGTCTTTAACATGCGCTAGTTTTAAAGAAATCTGGAAAATGACCGCCAAGTGCCTATTTGGACCAAGCCCAACCAAAACGTATCCTAGGAGGAGTGATCGGAAGGTCATTTCTGACATACAGACAACATTCTTTGCAATTATCAGAGCTATTATAACCAGGTGACCCTACAAAGGTACCTGGCGTATCTGCAATCTGTTCCTTTAGGTAAATGAGACTCATGGGAAAACGTCCCTATTTGGTTACAGTGGGAATTCACTTTTATTACTAATAATCAAAATAATAAAGATCCCCTGATTGTTTACTCTCTGCCAGGCATTTTTCTAAGACTTTGCACACATTATCTCAAATACACTCCATGCAGTCTTGAGGTGCGTACTGTCAGGATCCCAACGCAAGGGAATGAAGCTCCAGAGGTGGATCCAGGACTTAAGGCAGGTCTGCGGGACTCAAGAGCCCACACACTAAGCACTACCCCCACAGTCTCTCCTGCCCACCGGCACCAAAGGCCAGAAGGACCGGGGCCCAGGACAGCAGCCATACCAACCCTTGCACTCCCAGCCTTCCCCAGGGCACACACCGGAGGTGTCTGCTGACCCTCCCTCGCTTGTGCTACCATAACCCCCCCAACAGGGACAGTCGAGTAGTGACGTTTTGTGAGCAATGAGCTGGGCAGATGGCTAAAGCACATCACTCTAACAAAGTGGAATTAAAACCGTATGGCTCTGGAATCTTCAGGTCTCTTAGAGAAGAGGAAGTGGAGGGCCTGCATTATTGATGGGCCCCAAAGAAAGTTATTCCTCAAGAAACGGAGTATCAATTTCCACTGAGCACTTTAGCCTGACCCGGAACACCCCTCCCTCCTTTTATTTCTCACCTGGATTCAAAGAAGGAAAAAATGTGATGTAGCTTACAGAAATACATAGAGGATACCAGCTTTTTTTTTTTTTTAAGCAAGGAGATTTGGTGGTAATAAGAGTAAACAGTAAATAAAACACTGTCAAGATTGCTACAGTATACACTGTATGTCCGAAGGTCCCAGGCATCTGTGGCCTCTGAGCATTCTCTGCAGAGATAAACATGATCCACCCAACACCACGTGATTTTGATAGGAAATCAGCTATGCAGTCCCTCCTCCCCTGCCACAGGTAAGTCTGTGACCCAAGCTGACAGAATCGAAGATTGCTTCCTCCTGGACACAATGGTTGCTGGTCCGGCTGTTCTCCAGCATGGTCCTCCCTGGAAGACCCAAACGATCACTTGCCAGAGATGTCAGGGAAGATGTCGGCTACAGTAGCCATCATGCTTGCTGTGTGGAAATGGGCACGGGACAGGGCCCTAACGGCACTACTGGGGTTTCTGGATCCAGCCATACCTGAAACCCCTTGTCCACCCCTGGATATTTCAGTCTTTTTTGCTTAAGCTAGTTTGAGTTTGGTTCCTGTCACTTAGGAATGCACTTAAAAGAGTTGTGACTAGTATATAATATCATATACAAACAAAAATAACCATAGTTATTCAGGAGAAGTGCTAGAATTCCCTTAAGGGACTTTTTCTATTATACCAAAAATGCTCTACTAGTTTTCTACAGCTCTTGATTGTTCAAATCAGCCATTATGCTAAGAAGTCATATATCTCCTTAGCATGGGATTCAGGACCTTTATGATCCAGGGGCTACTAGCTCTTTCACCTCCTTCTCTCTCTCGGGCTCCAGGTCCATTTTCTCCTGCCCTATAAAGAGAATGAACCACATGCTGTCCCCAAGAATGACATGAGCCCTCCTGCCTCTTGCTTTCACACATGCTGTTCCCCCAAACTGGAAGGTCCTTTCCTGTCCTAACCTGCCTGCTGATTTTCTACTTATCCTGAAAACTTTAACTCAGCAATCACCCTTCTCCCTGGCAGCTTAAACAAGAAACAAGGTACAATATTTTAAAAATATTATGATTCTATTTATATGAAATGTCCAGAAGAGGCAAATATCTAGAGACAGAAAGTAGATTAGTGGTTACCTAGGGCTGGGGGTTGTGGGGGGTTGAGAATGAGGACTAAGTGGAATAAGATTTTTTGGGGGGGGTGATGAAAATGTTCCAAAATGAACTGTGCTGATAGTCATGCAACCTTGTGTAAAATCTATTGAGCTGTACACTTTAAGTGGGTGAACTGTATGGTGTGAGAATTATATCTCAATAAAGCCATTATAAAATAAAAATGAGATTATACTATTAGAAATAACAATAAAACAAATACTACCAAGATACCATAAACAGAGCTCCAGAAGTTACCCGTGTGAAGACACAAATTACCATCCATGCCCACCCCTCATATTCTGCAGACCCCACGCAAACATCCGAGCCCACACCCTGCACACAAGCAGAGGGTCCTCATCAAAACATTGGCATTCTGTTCCCCTCTCAAGCCCCTTCCCTGCTGGATCCAGCTGAACCATGGGGGGTGACAGGGACTCACCGTTGGCAGCTGGCCCGACAGCAGGTGGCTGTCCTGGGCCAGCATGTTGGACACCATGATGGCTGGGAGGTCCATGGCCTGGTAGGAGTAGGCAGGGAGCAGTCCGTTGGGCGTGAGGCTGTGACACAGCGAGTGGTAGCCAGCTTCGTGGTCCCCCAGGTGCAGGAGGGATGGCTCAGGGAGGTTGGGAGGTGTTATCGGGGGGATCTCATAGTCTTCGTTGCTCTCACTCTGGCTGTTGTAGGTCTAAAACATCAAAAGGGCATGTTGTTGGGAGTCAGTGTCTTACAACTGCAGAACATGCTTAATAGGACCAATAAGAGCAACAAAATAGTAACAACTTCTTGACAAAGGAAAGAAGGGATGATTCCCTGGAAGGCAGACAGTCACGATGGCCCTATGACTTGGTCAGATTCTTGCCCCATCTCCAAATGGGTGCTCCCTCCCACTAGAGGGTCTGTATACAAAACCTGCTCCCCTGGAGAATGGGACACATTCTTGTTCCTGTCTTCTTCATTTTCCCATCAGATCTGGACACTGCAGCCCACCACGAGTCCATCTTCCCACACCCACCCATTTTACAGATGGGAAAATCCAGGTCCAAAAGGAAAGTGGCTCATCCAAGGTTAATCAGAGTCGGGAATGGAGCTGAAGTATCCTGATTCCCTGCCTGGTGGTCTTCCAGGGCAGTTGGACACCTTTCCCTTGTGTGCCCTGAACACCCAGCCCAACTGGGTTCTCTCCTGGTCTTTCTCATCTCGGTAAATGGTACAAAGACACCTCCAGAAGCACAAGCTAGGAGCCATACCGGACACCTTCCTCTCTAATCCTTGTTCGTTCATTTTCCCCCTCACTGCACTGATCAGGAAGCTCCGGTACAATGCTGAATAGAAATGGTGAGAGTGGGCAGCCTTGCTTTCTTCCTTAACTTAAAGATCTCAGTGTTTTACCACTAAGTACAATGTCTGCCATAGGTTCTTACAGGCGTTCTGGAACAGCGTGAGGGCATTGCTAGTTTGTCAAGAAGGTGTTTATTTTTCTTTCAGTTGTGCGTGGTTTGTTGTTATTTTTGTTTTACTTTTATTGGACTCATTTTCCCTGCATCTACTGAAAGCCCAAGCGACTTTGCTCCTTTAATTCAGTTAATATGGTAAATTCTTCACTTGGTTTCTCTAATGTTAAAACAGCCTTGCATTTCTTAATGACATATCAGATAAAGGGCTAGTATCCAAAATCTATAAAGAACTTATCAAACTCAACACCCAAAGAACAAATAATCCAATCAAGAAATGGGCAGAAGACATGAACAGACATTT